GGTTCCTTAGAATTTTTTAATTTTGTCTACTGAAGCTTTAAGCTATTTCTGATTCAATTGATATTTTACCATTTGAGGCTTCATTATGTCTTGAGCTTCTGTCTTGTCTTCCATCTGGTCTCTGTACGTCAATAAGCTGCAGCGGCCCATCCTCAACTGTTCTCTGGGAAAAAAATCAGAATGTTAGCTGTGTATCTGGGCCAACAACAAAGTATTCTTAGTTAAAATAATGGGAATTGCTTTGATGTCAGGAAACTCTCACACTGAAAGTATATAAATATTGTTGGTCAGTGGGGGATGGAGATTGAAAAGTCTCTTCTATACCTATCTTCTCATTCCATGAGATTAACTCCTAGATTTGTATATGTAAAAGTATAAGAGCCATAGTTTGTAAATTTCTTTCAAAAGTAAGAAGAAAAGAAAGAGTGGAAGGAAAAAGGAAAGAAGAAGAGATCGCTATGGAGGAAGAAAAGGAAAGAAGGGCCAAACAAGCATGATTTATGCGAAAATGCCACGAACGAATAGACAACGGTACAACACAAACAATGTTTTGAAAGTGAAAAGGAATCATCCAAAATCAGGAGGGCTCCCCTGACTGCAGCATTGCTAGCATAACAATTCAGCTCATGTGGAAGGGAAGGGATGCATTATCAGGAAACCTCTCAAGACTTCAATGCCCATCAGACAGTGATGGACCATAGTCTGGTCCACGGTCTGAGCTATACCCCCATTTGCACTACTCAGATGATGTTGAGGGCACAGGCGAATCTCCAAGTGGCCTCAACCTCTCTGTGACAGAATGCAAATGACCAGCTGTCTGCAAGAAACATCAATCCTTCCATTCCCACCATCCAATCAGAGCTGAAGAAGCTTCTTGGATGAGAAGTGAAACGTCTTCTAAGACTTGATTGTTTCTTCTATTTAATTTGCCTTCTACAGGTACTTAATAAACCCTGACATCTCCTCATTAACTGGTGTGTTCATTGTGTTTGGATACCCAAAGAG